CTGTGGAGGTGGGGGATACTGATTTACCCTAGATCCAAATAAAGCATGCAGAAGTGGATGATTAGTTAAGCTGGTATCTCTTTTCTCTTTTGGTTTCCCCTTGAAATATGAAGACAAAGGCAATATAAAATGGTTCCTCAACATATCTGTACAGCACTTCCCATTAAAGAAAATGTAAAAACAGACTGGGTGCAGTGGTTCATGCCTGTAATCCCAGCCCTTTGAAAGGCCGAGGTGGGTGGACCACAAGGTCAGGAGTTCGAGACCAGCCTGGCCAACATAGTGAAACCCCCACCTCTACTAAAAATACAAAAATTAGCTGGGCGTGGTGGCATGAGCCTGTAGTCACAGCTACTTGAGAGGCTGAGGCAGGAGAATCACTTGAACCCCAGAGGCGTAGGTTGCAGTGAGCAGAGACTGCGCCACTGCACTCCAGCCTGGACAACGGACTGAGACTCCATCTCAAAAAAAAAAAAAAAAAAAAAAAGAAATAAGAAAATGTGAAAGCAACAATCATTACTACTTTAGTAGCAAGCTGTGGGTGTACAAACCCCAATGTCTTCAGAGTACTTTTTAAAATGTGTAACTTAAAGTCAGAAATAGACCAGAAAATCCCTTTTTCATCTTCTGTGTCTACAGCCAGTTCCCCAGCTCTGAGAATGCAAACTAAAGTACAAGAATGTTCATTTAAGTTATTGGATTACCGGCCTCACCATTCCCCATCCAAGAAGCATGTGTGAATTTAAAGGGCTCATTTTTGTGATGTTTGTCTCAAGTTAAGAGACAGTTTAATAAAACTTTAATAAATCTTCCTGTCTTTCACAAAAGAAATCTGTTTAGAACTAAAGAAAGATTTTTTTTAATAAAGATAAAATTTAGTTTTCCTAAGAAAAGAAAACCATGCTTACTACATCAGCTTTGTCCAATAGCACTTGCTGTGATGACAGAAGTGTTCTGTATCTGCATTGTCCATACAGTAGCCACTAGCCACCTAGTACTGAGCACTTGAAATGTGGTTGGTGTGACTGAGGAGCTAAATTTTATTTCATTTTAATTAAATAGTGACACGTGCCTAGTGGCTACTACATGGGGCCATGTTGTATTATCAACATAAGTCCCCATCAGCAGAGCTGAATAATTCACTCATATTACAATGAATGTCATAATTTTGAATATATATACATATTATACCAATATACCCATATTCGATTTTTAGCTTCCTAATTAGTATTTAAGATTTCCTCGTAAGTGGTTTTTCAACAAATTTTGGCAATTTTTTTTCTAAAACATGAACATACTTAATCTGCTGAGCAAAATTCCTCTGGCAATATTCAATTTTCCATCTGTGAAACTTGGGCATAGGGAAAAAAAAAATTCTTCACAAGCCCACCCTCCTATTGATGTAAAGGGAAGAAGTGAAATATAACCTAAAGAAAAGCTAATATAACTACTGAGATTATTTTATGGGTATACCTGTTCATCAACCTCCGCTTAGATGTACTTTTTTAAACTCAGCTGAGGCTTTCAACCAAATTCACTCCTATATTTGTTTGACTTCTTGACTATTTTCTGTTATGACCAGACTATGACCAAGCCCTCTGAAATCAAGTATTCTACATCTAGGAAAACCTTTTAAAATATATACATTAAAATACTCTATATTTAAATGAGACAAACTGATCAAATTGTCAAAATGCAGTAGCCTAAAGAAAAGCAGATGCTTCAGAGAGACTAAAATATGCAGATCATGCCAAGACCACATTCCAAGCAGGTGGCAAAAGAAATTACAGTTTTATAGTCAGCAAGGAAGAGACACCCCAAGAAAATATGCTTAAAAATACATTGCAGTTATGCTATGGCCCCAGGATACATCAAGCAACACCACTGCACTCCTTCTAATCTCAAGGTCAATACCAAATTAATTTTACCTTCCCAGCATGCTAATGCTTAAATATACCATACACAAGCACAAACATTTCAGTAATTTCATTGTTAAGCAGAATGAACTTCTAGAACAGGTTTCTGAAAATACTATAAGCTAATTTAAAACAAGCAAACTTAAGTATACTGTACAAGAATAAAGCCACTAGTACCATATAGCATATATTTGAGAATACTCAAACTATACCAAGCCAAGCAATTCTAAGACAGCAGTGCAATTCAGGTAAGAATTCAGCACCATAGGCTGGAACTTCATTTTTTTCTCTACCAGTGCTATGGCTACCACCTAGTCCTAAAAAAGGGCCAGAAGCTCACCTACTATATCCAAAGAGCATTGGAATCTCAACAAGACAGACGACAATTAAATGGCACTGCCTGAAAGGAGAAAAGGCTTCATCTGGCGCAACTGAGAGCACTCAGACATAGCAAGAGTCTGTCAGACTCCATAAAAGCTGTATACTGTCAGTCCTTCTTTTGTGTGTGTGGATAAAATCTGCAGATGCAGCCTGGGCGGGAAAGAGGGAGACAGAATTTCAAATGGAGAACTGCCATACTGTGTGACCCTGACAGTACCCCTCCTCATTCTGCCAAGCTATGAACTACACCTCTACTGACCACAGCATCTGCATTATCTCTAAGGATGCCTATCAGGTAGAAATTTCTGTGCCAAAAGCCTCCACATCTGACAAGTGCTAAAAACCTCCATGATTTTTTAAATTATCTTAATTCTTAGGGGGGAAAATCAAATAAATACAATAAGTGATTCATAATTTTCACAGCAAGGGCCTAAGTTCTCAAAGCATATAAGGTCTAGCTCAGAAAATAAACACCACTTCTCATTTAGTTCTATAAAAGTCCACTACAGAATAGTGTTACTCTTGCTTCCCAAAATGCAATTTAAAGGTGGAAATCACAATCTATTTAAAGACACTCAGAAGATCAATTAGCTTAACAAAGTTAACTTAATTTTTTGTATTTAATACTCTCAGATTTATGAGATAAAATATAGATTCTAGCAAACAAAAGAAACATACGTAAAATAAAGCCATTTTTGCTTTCTTTTCAAATTGCTAACAGTGCAATAGCACATCAAATGAAGAAACTTATTAAACTATCTTAGCACAAATATGGCTGCATCATTTTTCTAAATTTCCAGTGTTTACGGGCATCTTCCATGAAATAGATGAAATATCTTACATTTTCACTTTATAAGCTCTCGAGTCCTATACAATGCTCTCCTTTTCCTCTACCAGAGTTTTTGCAGACCAGTTTTAATAAATGTATCTCAATCCACAATAAAAACATTATCTAAGAAATTTATCAATATATATTATACTTCTGTAAACATCAGTCTTTCTGAGATTCTGAAAAGAAACCCAATAAAACTGTTTTCTTTTAATTTTTTTTAATAGTGAAGACATGAAAGCATCCTCAACCCAAAGTGTAATGTAATATTTAATCACGGCTCCTGACAAATTTTGTCTTATGCATTAAACAAAAGTGTTCTCACTCTTACCTGTATATCCAGCATACCATCCCCAGGAAGCCACCATTCCTAAAAGCCATTTATACATGATTCCTTCGATATACCAGAACCGCTTACTGTCCAGCACGCGAAGGGGCTGAAGTATAATTATATAGCAGATATAGGATGGAATAGCAACCAGGTTGTTGGCGACCATGAAGGCAAACCTCATCAGTGCTTTCACCAAGAGCCAGCCCAGCCATGGAGCTTCTTCCAAAGTCATAGCCATTCTCACATTGGAGTCCGTCTTGTCTTTCTGGGGTAAAAGAAAAATTAACTTAAAAAGGAAAATGGATTAAACACATCTAAACAGTCACCAACATGGAAATCGCCCCTAGCACAAAATACAAAGCGAGGGTCGAAGCTTCTGGGTGTTGTAGTACCTCGGTGATCTCTCGGGAGAAATTCCAGAGGGGGGACAGAGAGCGAGGGAGGAGGAGCCGCACAAGGTCAAGGGAGCTGTTAACCGAGGCACTGGGTATGTCACAATATATTTAGCAAATGATAACACAATTCCCATTCAGTAACCGGCAGCCGTCCCCGCACCGCGTCTCACTGCAGTCGTCTATGTGGACTCAGAAAAATAGATCCACGCGCTTCATACACCCTCAGGATCTCCAAACTGCAGACACGAGTGACACAACCGAAACAGGGTCCTGTCGATCAGATTTCCCAGATACTGAGGACCTCAGTCCCCTCACCACCACCATTCCTGCAAACTGATGCATTCCTTTAAAAGGTCTCTGGTGCCAGCGAAGAGTTACCCTCAAAATTTTCATTTGCAGCAATAGGGTTTTTGTTTTCCTTTTTTTTTTTTAAGAAAAAAAAAAAATAGGGGGCCCAGAAAAAAAAAAAGCTTAAAAGGTGAGAGGAAGAAAGTAGGGGTTATAAAGCGAAAAAGAGGAAGGATAGGAGAAGGGGGAGGGGAGCAAAAGGCAAAAAGAGGTAAAAGCCAAGGAGCCGGGGATGAAGAGAATGAGATCTCCGACCAGAGGGCAGGGAAGCGGGGGATGATGAAAGCAGCAGAGAAGAGGAGGCTACCGTAGCGCGGGGGACCGGTAGAGCCGGCAGCGGTTTCCGCGGATGTGGAGGGGTCGTGGCGGCGGGCACGGCCCGCGCGCCGGGCTCACCTCGGCGGGCGCGGACGGCGGGCTGCTGCGGAGCGCCGGGGCGGGTGTCCCCCGCCGAGGGGTCGCGGTCATGGACGCGGAGGCGGCCCAGGCGGCCCGAGGCGCGGCGTGAGCGGGCGCGCGGGCGCCCTACTCCCCTCGCGGCTCCCTGCGGACAGAGGGACGGGGAGACTCAAAGGCCGGACCTGTCACCGGGGCGGGTCCCGGGTAGGCGGGCGGATGCCCCGCGCCCCCACCTCCTCCCCGGGGCCTACCGCGCCCTCGTCCCTCAGACCGCCGCCGCCTCCTCGGGCCACGCGACGACGACACCCCTTCCCCACCCCCAGCGCCTCCCCAGGCCCGGTTCCGCTGCCGCTCGCGGGCCTGCGACCGCTGAGCTGGGGGTTACCTCGGGCTGGCCGGGCCCCGGCCGGGGCTTTGGAAGCCTGAGGAGCCGGAAGAATGCATGGCCGGCGGCGAGGCCGCGGAATAAGGTGGCGGCGGGGCCCTAGCCCGGCTCCGGCTGTGGCACGGCTCGCGCCTGGTCCCCAGCGGCGCCGACACTCGGTCCCCAAGGGCCCGGCCGCGTTCGCCCAGGCTGGCGGGGAGGGGCGGCGGGAGGAAGCGGCGGGAGTCGGGACTGCGGCGGAGCCGCCCCCACAGCGCCCTCTAAGGAAAGCGCGGTCGCTGCCGCCTGGCCCGCGCGCCCCGCCTGGCCCTGGCCTCAGACCCGTTCGCCTGCGAGTCGGGACCCTCGGCGCTAACTGGACGCTCGGCCAGGACCTCGGTGAGTACAGAACATACCGAGGGAAAGGGCGGCGCGGAAAGGCCTAGGATTGAACCCACCCTCACACCCCAGGAGTGCTTTGGTGCAGTTGAGAGCCCCTTTTCAGCCAACACGGCCGCCTCTCATTGTTAGGGCTCTCTGCCCAAGCTAGGAACCTGTCTCCTGGAAGACTAAATGTCCTCTTTTCATTCTTAATGAAACACAGTTGCACTAATGGCTTTTCTTCTTAACCTCTGGAGAGTATTATTGTCTAGTGTTTTAAATTCATTCTTTTTAGTGTCAAAAGACTTGTTTCAGGAAAGCAGTTGGAACATTAATGGCAATTCCACTTTCCCATTTATCGCCCCTCCCCCCACCACCCGTCCAAGAAATTCAGTGGGAATGAATGGTCTACACAGAGAAACTGAAATCTGGTTAGTCAAGAAGGAAAAAATAGCCAAGTGCCTGGCATTAAGTAAATATTCACTCCCCCCCCCCCAAAAAATGAAAACAAAACAAAACACAAACGGTGGCCATGAGAACTTCTAGACAGGTACCTGTCACTGCATTCTGACTCAAAGGCTGGACCACCTGAAGGAAAATAGGGAAATAGTCCATTGACCTACCGACTTGAACGTTCTTAAATGATCTACCTAAATTTTAGTTTTTAAAAACCCTGTATATAAAACCTTATGTCAGTTAATCTCATTTGTAAATGGAGGGGATAGGGGTACGGCAGATTTTACACTCCCTAGGGAACTGGCATATTTGAATCAGAATGCCACCTATTCTGCCTACTTTGAAAATATTCATCACAGAGTTTGCTCTGAACTCTCAGCTTTCTCTAATTTCAGTTCCTCTTAGGTCCACAGGTGAAGGAAAGATATGCCCCATTCTATTCCTTGCATTCTCTCTTAGTTGACAAGGGTAGTAAGATCTTTAAATAAATCTCATGAGAGTGATAATATATGTACTTTAGAATATTGTTCAAAATATGTAATTATATTCTTAAGTAAGATAGGTGAGGCACATACTTATTTCCAGAATCAAGAATAAACTCTAAGGATTCCATTTGGTCCATCCCATTCAGCTTTCTCACCTGCTCAGTAAACGTTGGCTGACACCTGGAGAGAGATAACCTACAATTGGATTTACACATGATTCCTCGATCAGAGACGATCTGCCAGAGGACTAGACACAGCAGCACCTGGTGAAATGAAATTTAGTACCAGGCCCAGAATTCATTTGCAGGCTCAGAAAATAGCCAGAGGTTAGGCAGGACCTCTGGCTCTTTAGTATACAAAAACAGCACTTGCGGGGTCTACCAAAGAAACACATTCTTAGGCATCATACATTTTAATACTCTAGGTCCAGTGGACCTGGGAACCTGCTTTTTAAAAAGTATCATAAGTGGTTCTGATGCAGGTAGTATGCAGACCTTGCTTTAAGAAAACTTGACCTGGGGGTACTCTGAGATGATCACATTCTTTTCTAGTCCCTTCATAATTTTAAATTATTTGATCATATCTGTTCTCATGTGTGTTAGCCAGGGCTGCCATAACAAAGTACTTGTAAACTGGGTGGCTTAAACAACAGAAACTTATTTTCTCAAAGTTCTGAAGGCCAAAGTCAGAGAGCAAAGTGTGGGCAGGTCTGGTTTCTTCTGAGGCCTATCTCGTTGGCTTGCTGATCACCACCTCCCATTTGGTGTTCACTGCAAAGTTCTGCCATTTCAGTATCTCCTCAAGGAAGGAGTAGGGAGAACCTAATCTCAATCTTTCAGATGTCTTCCTATTAATTGCCTACAACCTCATTAGACTTTTCTTGAAGCTCAACAAACAGTACAACACATTATGTTCCAGGTATAGATACCCCTGGTTTTGTGCCAAGGGTGTAGGAGAGTGGTAATCTTCTTAACCTTCTGACCAAAATATCACATTCAGTTTCAAGATAATTCAGCTCCTATAATAGATGAGAAACTGTTTGGGCTGACTTCTTCAGGGAACAATTTCAGATGACACATTTATTTCTTGCATTTCAAAGTTCATTTTAGTTAGTTGTACCTTCCTCTTGTCTATACTACAAATTTTTTGCCCTGCTTCCTTTTAACCACTTAGGAAGCCTCCTGAGATTTTTCCATTAGCTTAATTTACTGCACCATGGACAGAGAGATGTATGAATTCTCTGAATGACTTTAGCAGGAAGGTTGGAACAGCCAGTTATCCAGGGTAGACCGGTCTGTAGAAAACAAGGAACTTCTTCAATGACTAGTTAGTTTCTAGTCCCCTATCCTGCTACCTTAGAGCCATCTTTATCAAAACACAAACATGAAGCCAACAATTTCAACACCCCTACAGAGAAAAGAGGGAAACAAACAGAGTCCACCCATACGTTATTGTTTCTGTTTTAAAAACCCACCTTTGAACCACAAGAGAATGGTCCTTTGAAAGAGAAAGAGGATTTCTTACATTGCTTGGAATCTCCACTCATTTGAAAACAATCTAACCATATAACCTTGAAAGGATTAATTCCACCCATCTGGTCCACATACACAGAACAAATTAGGTTATAACCAGGGAGAGGTTCCCTTGAGCAGAAGAGTACTCCCTGGGCCCTCTCTTTTTCCTAGCAGCAATTATAAAAACATTTTGCCTGCCTGTGTTGGTTTCTGAACTAAAGCTCCAATGAACTATTTCCTCTCTAGGGAGAAACCCTACCAGCAATAGCCTTCAATGACTTGGCACAGCACCCCCTGCCCCCGCCACACACACATTAGTAGGAAACAGTTGCAAGCTTGAAATCAACAGCCTGAGAGAGTCATGCATTCTGACTGCTGTCAGCTTTAACTTCAAACAAAAAATGGAACTATATATGGGTGTTCTCTTCTATATTCATGTCAGTAATTATTTTATGTAAAATGTTCTAGGGCTTATAACCTTAAAATTTTTTAGACAGGGTGAGCCAAATCATCCAGACTTGGCAGGCGTGGTAACTCACCCCTGTAATCCCAGCACTTTGGGGGACTGAGACAGGCAGATCACTTGAGGTCTGGAGTTCAAGACCAACCTGGCCAACATGGTGAAACCCCGTCTCTACTAAAAATACAAAAATTAGATGGGTGTGGTGGCACCCACCTGTAGTCTCAGCTACTTGAGAGGTTGAGGCAGGAGAATCACTTGATCCTGGGAGGTGGAGGTTGCAGTGAGCCTAGATTGTGCCGCTGCATTTCAGCCTGGGTGACAGAGTGTGACTCTGTTTCAAAGAAAACACAGAAACAAATCATCCAGACTTGACTGCAACTCTCTTTAAGCCATTTCAGCAACTCTTTTTATTAACACAATTGGCCCTAAACAATACCGTGAAGTAAACAACTGTGTCTCCTCCAGGCTTCTCTCCTGTTCAGCTAGCTTCTCTTTTCCCTTCTTAAGACTAAAATCATCCCTAGTTTCCAAAGGGTCCTGAAGACCTCCCTCTGCTCCCCAAACAGATAATACTCTAAGCTAGAACCTTCTTTCTCACCTGTCCAATGTTGTGTTTTCTTGGCTCAGTCCTTATCTCCCATGCCTGGTGTGGTCAACTAATCCATGACAAGGTGCTTATGGGTAAAAAATGGAAGAGAGAATTCTCTTCCTAAAGCACTAGTATTTTATAAAGAAACTCCTAAAATCCCCAAAGCCTTAAATATTTCTGCTGGCAGATTCTCAGGTATTGTAATGGATGAATATATTTGTAAGATGTTTTGGAGAAGGATATTTTGGCAAGTTCCTTTATTCACAGAACCTACAAAATCACATAGTACACCTATGAATAAGACAAGTTCAGATTTAAACTTGTATTTTTGTAACATAAGATTCAAAATAATGACATGTTATTGCTGATTATGTTAAAATAATAATAATCACTGGCAATTATTGATCACTTTCAACAATCCAGGCCATGTTCTTGGTGCTTTACATACATTAATTCATTTAATTTTCACAATGACTTTTTTTTTTTTTTTTTTTTTTTGACAGGGTCTCACTCTGTCTCCCATACTGGAGTGTCCTGGCCTGGTCTCTGCCTCACTGCAACCTCCACCTCCCATACTCAAGCATTCCTTCCACCTCAGCCTCCCAAGTAGCTGGGACTACAGACGCATGTCACCACAGCCAGCTAATTTTTTTTATTATTTTTTGTAGAAACAGGCTGGTTTTGCCATGTTGCCCAGACTGGTCTTGAACACCTAACTCAGGCGATCCACCTGCCTTTTTCTCCCAAAGTTCTGGGATTACAGGCATGAGCCACTGCGCCTAGCCCACAACAACCTTTAAAGGACCGTATTGTTACCCACATTGTATAAATGGGGAGGTTAAGTGATTTGCCCTGATTTCTACCCTTTTTCCTCTGTCCTCACCTCCATCTCCAGGAGGCCACTGAATCTCACATCTCAAGCTTTCTTTCATGTTATAACTTTAAGACCTATCATTGACAGCAAGCTCCTAACCTCTTCTGGAACCTTTTATCTCCTAAATACCTAAGTTTCTGGGTTCCCCCAACAAATTTTAAAAAAAATAATTGGAACATCTTTGTTCTAATGTTGAGATGGTGTAATTTAGTGATATTTGACAAGAGAAAGGAATTTTTCTGTAGAAAAGGAAGACAGGGATGGGATGTGGTGGCTCATGCCTATAATCCCAGCACTTTGAAAGGCTGAGGTGGGCAGATCACTTGAGACCAGGAGTTCAAGACCAGCTTGGGCAACATGGTGAACCCTGTCTCTACTAAAAATTTAAAAATTAGCCAGATGTGGTCACACATGCCTGTAATCCCAGCTACTCAGAAGGCTGAGGCATGAGAATTGCTTGAACCTGGGAGGCGACGGTTCCAGTGAGCCAAGATTGTGCCATTGTGCTCCAGCCTGGGTGACAAAGCAAGACTCTGTCAAAAATGAAAGATGGACTGACGGATGGATGGATGGATGGAAGGAAGGAAGTGAAAAAGGAATGAAGGAAAGAGAAAGAGAGGAAGGAAGGAAGGAACAC